CCCCAAAACCCCAAAACCCCAAAACCCCAAAACCCCACAACAATTAAATTTGAATAATTATGAATATAAGAACTTATTGAAATTTACAAAAATTTAATTATTAAATCAAGCTAAGAATTTAAGGAATCAAAGATCAAATCAAGTAAAGAGTATTTTTATAAGGATTGAAAAGTTTTAGATCTTTCAGGATCTACTTCCTTTTAACCTTAAATTCTGGATTAACTTTTTGACTGCTGATCTAGATTTTTCTACTTTGCCTACTTCTCTGCTTGGATCTATCATTCCCATTTTATATTCCTTTACTACTTCCTTTGCTAATCCCTGATAATCATCATTCGCCTGAACTTTATAAAAATAAAGCATTTTGATGTTGTTTGCTTCATCAGTGTTATCAAACTCTCTCAATATTTTCAAGGTTTTATCAAAATTTGTATTTCTCATTTCTTCTTACACCAAATTCATGTTGATTTTCTTATTTAGTTGCACTCCAGCATCTTTGATTATCTCATCAGATGTCTCTCTATTTATAGGCAAATGGTCATTCTCTAAATAATAGCAAGCTTATATCACATTTTTTAGTTTATGCTTATTTAAATTAGACTTTTATCTTATCTGTTTTTCATTCTACTTCTAACTGATAAAATTTTCAATCTAAAGTCGGTAAGATTAGTCATTCATTGATGGGGTTGCATCCAAGAATATTTGATTGTACCTTTAATAAAGCTTATCAAAATTGATTTATTACTAACCTTGTTTATTTAATAGAATGTTTCAAATCTAGACTCTATGTAACTTTTCCTTACTTCATTGATTATCTTTCTCTCTCAAAAATTGACATTTTTTTCTTAGTGTTTTTACGCGAATTATTAGAATTTACCTCTCTATAAGAATTCATAGAAAGATTTTTTAAAACTGCCAATTCAGTCTCTCTTGGAGTTATTAACGTACTTAAGTTAAGTTTTGGTCTCACCATTTTAAACTATATCTTACTCATCTCATGAGGCTTAGTTAAATCATAATTGTGCACTTCCTTTATCTTCTAATCCATTTTGAAATGATGGGCAGACTTAGGATTAAGATCAATTATTATATCTTTATTAATGAGATTTTAATTACTATGACTAGTCTCAAATGTCTTTTACTGCTCTTCTACAGTTTCTTCAATAGGGTGATCATGAGGTAACTATGATGTTAAAGAATCTCTTCTTAAGGATGAAAATGGGTTTCCATAAATACCTTAAGACGAATGTCTTTTTTAAGAAAAATCTAATCTAAAGTTGCTATTGTTTTACTTTGAATTGCTAAAATTAAATTATCCTGAGTCAATATTTCTTTGATTTTAAGCTGAATTTTTTAGAAATAATCAGCTACTATTAGATTCTCCATCTTTACCTAACTAGATGAGAGAAGAATAGAAATGTTAATCTATTTAAGAGGCTGTTTAAATAGATCCTCTTCTCTAATGATAAATATTACTCGCAGTTGGAGATGTATCTTTTATTGACAAATTTTCTTCATCTGATCCTACTCGATTCAGCATTTAACGAAGTTTAATATTGTCCCAGAAGCTATTCGCTTTTTACGAACTCTTCCTTATTAGATTTTATACTCGTTATCTTTCCATTTCCTTTTATAGATCCTCACCTATCTTTTTAATCTGATTTTTCCTCTACGCCTCTTTGATATCTCCTTTAAGCAACTTTTCAAAGAAATTACCTTGTTTATATTTTTGAAAAGTTTTATAATCTTCTTAGCATCTTATCATGACTCTTTCGTGATTACTCAAGTTTTGCTCTTTTAGTATGTTAATATTGTAATCCTTAATTATCTTTTTTATTCCGCTTTTTTCCTTGGACATTGCCTATATTTTTTTCTCCTCATTTTGTATTTTCTCAATTCTATTCTTTCTTTTTACATAGTCATCTAATTTATCTAGTGCTGTCATAGGATCAAAAGTCTCAGGACTAGCATGAAAATATTCCTCAATTTTCTGTAGCTCTGAGAGTAATTTGGAGTTTGAAAAACCATAAATTTATTCATAAGCGTCCTAAAATAGTCTCTAAGCCTCTATGGGGTCTGAATAAATTCTTTCCTTCATATTTAGAACTTCTTTTAGTCTTTCAACTTTAAGTTAAAATAGCTATCTTTGTTCTTTTCTTTCTTTTTCTTTTTTTAACCTTATTTTAAATGGCTCTGATGGATCAAATATTTGATTTGCAGCAGCTAATTTTTATTTTACTTGACTCATTCTTCTTTATTTCCTGAAATTCTCTCTAATGTCTTTTTGTCTATTTTTTTCAATATCAATAAGACTGTCGATGACTAGAAATTCACCCTAAGCAGTCAATGTTTCGAGCAAATTTCCTTGAGAAAAAATATTTTCTGAATTTTCAAGTAGATGATGTTATTATTTTTTGTTTGTGTCAGAATTATTGTTATCCATCACTTTATTAATTACTTTTAAATGATAAATAATCTCATATTTCTCTAAAACCTGAAAATAATCAATTTTTTTTCAAATCATTAACGCTTTATTATTAGCTAGCGGGGTTTTGGGGTTTTGGGG